GAGACCAGCGAAGGCACAGGCTGGAAAGCAAAGAGGCTTTTGGTGACCACAAAGACCAACCCAGTGCAGCCACGGGGCAGCGGGGCTGAAGCCCAGCAGGCAGGGCTGGCTGCTCCTCACAGCTCTGCCCTGCTAATGGAAGCCACACCAGCGTGATTTTGCTCTCCTGTATTTTGGGCTGTTTTGCAGAGCAGAGGCTGCCCAGAAGAGCCCTTGCCTTGGCTGGCACCTCTAGGCACTGCAGAGCAGCCTGCACAGACAGCACAGGAGGGTGGGTGGAGAGGTCTGACAGCCCAAAGAGGAGCCCAGGATGCAGGGGAGAGGGTTTGTTCCCAGCTCCTCCAGCCAGGTATCCTTTTGCTCCAAGCACTTGGTGTCTCAGCGTGATACTTGCACAACTATTTCACTTGTGTGGAACAACAGAGCATTTCCTTTTACATGGAATCACATACGTGGCACCCTGTGGCACCCTGGGGTTTATTTGCTAAGGAATTACCGCTTTGTCCCAGGATGAACAAAGAGGTCCCAGGAGGCATCCATCTCTGAACAACACAGGGAAAGTTCAGCAAAAAGATGACTTGCAGCACCAAGGCACATGGACAGACAACTAAGCCAGAGGTGAGCCCAGTCTCAGCCACACAGTTCGGGTTCTGCACTAGAGATGGGCAGAAAAGAGCCAAGTCTGGGTCTCTGCCCGCAGCGGCGATGCCAGCGGCCCTGGGAGCTGCCTCCACGTCTGCCTGCGGATTGCATTGTGGGTCCCCCCCTCCAGCAGGCAGGGCTTTGATGTCACTCGCATTAAAAGGCGGGGGGGGCAGAGCCCGCGCTGTACATATTCATAAGCAGGCGCAGACACGGACTCCAGGCCAGGGCTGCGGGGCCGCTCCCCCCGCCTCGCACAATGCCCTTGTCCAGGTGGGCAGCGTGAGCTCAGAGGAAAGGGAAATAAGAATTTTTGCGTGAAGATGCACTTAACGGCCGTTACAAAATCCTGGCCTCGAGACGAGAGGGCAACACACCCCTAAATCTGAAAGGAATCCGGTTCTCTCCCTAGAAAATGGGAGTACAAGTAGGACTTTGCAAGTCAGAGATGTCCCGTTTGGCAAGCTGTTGGTATCCTGACAAATGATACAGGGAAACTGCCTTAATTTTCTTAAAGACAACAGCTGTTTTTTTGGGTTTTTTTGGTTTTTTTTTTTCAAATTAACCTGGAGCATAGAGTCAGTAACCAGAGCTCATCTCTGCAAACCAGGCACTCGGCATAGCTGATCTGCAACAAATAGCAGTGAGACTTGGGATCCAGAGCAGAGTGGGAAGACAGATCCCATCTGCTAAAAGGTTACAAAAAAGGATTAAGAAAAGGATGTCTTTCCATTAACATCTCCTGTTAGACAGGAAATGAAGGCCCAGTGCCTGCATCACCCACGCACTGCAGTGGGATAGCTGATACATCCAGCTCCTCGAGGATCTTGCTTCAAGAATCTAGTTTCTAGCTCTTCCAGGAATGGAACGTAAATCTGGAGGCTGGCAAGCAAAAAACTCCAGGCTTAACCAGCAAAAAACAACTATTAAGAAGACAGAAGAAAATAAGATTTTGCAGTTGTTAAAAGATGACAGAGAATTCAACTGAAAGAAAGCAGAAGCAGGGTTAAAACTGCCCAGGCAGAACCTTTTATTGCATCCAGCATGAAGAGCAAGGGCAGATGTGTCCAGCCAGGCTCCAGGTGCAGAAAAGACCCCTTAAACACTATATTGTGATTTTGAGGAGGATGACAGTTTTGGACCAAAGCATCGTCCACTGTTCAAGATATTAAATAAAAAAACCCTAAAAAAATGCATTTAAATCAAACTCGAGTGAATATTTGTCACTGCTCTAAAATACTTCTTCCTGCTACAACTAGTGTCATGCAGTCTCAACAATCTCTCACTGCACAGTTCCTGTGAGATGGAGATACAAGCAGATGAACAGCACAGCCACTGTTCTTATCTGAGTAAATATGTCTTGGCACCAAACCCATCATTAAGAGTCAGAATTCTTTTATTTTCCCATAGAAAAGAAGTATACCGGTATCACTGTCGGATATATAAAAGTAGAACCACAGAAGAGGTGTCTCAGGAGGGACCTCTGGATGTCATTTAGTCCTCCCAGTTAAAACCAGCTGTCACCAGGACTTGACCAGGTCAGCAGCCCCTCAGTTTAGCCAACTCCTCAAAACAGTGAAGCTCTCTGAGTGACCTCTCCTAGTGTTGTTGCACTGCTGACCTGGGAAAAGAAACTGTCTTGCCCTCACACATCTCTAGTCTTCTTGTGCTAGCAATTCATCCTCATATATACCTTTGCCTTCTTTGTAACATTCCAGAATTTCAATGGGCCTCAGTTTTAAGGGTTTACACCACAGGAGAGTGAACTTATTGGCTAAACCATAATCGTAGCTACTTGTGATATCCAGAGGTTTGTAATGGGACACTGAGCCACTGAGAAATCACTATCCTAAAAGGTCACAGCATATGACAGAAGCAGGATCCTGAGACTTCAGTGTCCAAGTCACTAACTGCAGACATGTAAGCTGCATTAATACCAATCAGCACAAAGAGAAAAATCTGAGGACTATTTGCTAAATATTTGGTAGTTACATGTCTTTTGCATAACCTCTATAAATATTAACTGAGATCCCAAAGGAGTCATCTCAATAGATGGAGAAGTTGCAAAAAGATTAAATGACTTATGTGATCTTGAGCAGTGAAGAGCAATGACTAACTGAACCACAGCCTTTCTCAGTGCGGTGTCCCTGGCCCTTTTATTTGGACTAAATAGCATGATATTCAGCCCAGAAACTGATTCGGTGATCCTTAACATTTTCATGAAATTCAATTTCAGCTTGGCTTCCTGTTGATTGCCAGAAGAATTGTTGTTTCCCATGGAACACCATTGTCTTCATGGTGCTTACGTCACGGACCTGCATGAAGAAAGACCAAACCATTATATCATAGTGGACTACGGGTGAAGTAGCCACAAAATAGTGGGGACTCGCAAATTGATCACTCAGGGGGAAAAGCTGCCCTATACACAGGTTAGAAGAAACACAGTAGATATCAGCAGTCCTCCTTCACATCTACATTTACATAACAGAGATCAGAGTCTGACTCTCTAGGATGTGTGACTGAACTTTGCATCTGGATAGAAATGTCTAATGAGGAGATGGGTCTATTCCCATCCAAATCATCCCCTTTAAGTTTCTGTCTCACCAGGATGTAATTAAAATGTGTTTGGTTGCTGTCATTGTCCAGGTCAATATACATGGCACGGATAGCTATGCGATGTCGGGGAGCCACGTTGATGAAGGTCCGACACACCACTTCTTGCCTTTGATCAGGCAGTTGCACAGGATTCACTATTTCACCTTGGGGACCAAACAGCTGCTTGTCACAGTCTGAGAAGGGGAAAGGGAGCAGAAAAGAAAATGATTGAGAGAAGCGTCCAGCCTCTCCAAGAAAAAAAAAATTCATTTAAATTAAACTCAGGCAGAAAAGTTTCTCTAAGGATTTTCATCTGGGAACCTCCAAGCATCAGCAAACACCTGCAGGGGGCTTGCCTTTAAAACAGAGGTGTAGGCCACAAGTAATATTAATTCCAACACTCCTCAAGGAGTGGCTTCTTAGATGCTAGAAATGAAGCAAGGCTTCCATAAACATTCATAAGCAACTGTGACCTGTGGAACTCTGCAGGCCTTGTCATGGGTGCCTTAATCTAAAGTAAAAGCAAAGCTTTCAGTAAGGTACCTTGGTAATACTTTTTAGTTGCAGCTCTGCTGTTGTACTGAAGAATGACCCCATTTCCTGGCAGCAAAACACGCTGTTTCACAATCAGCGTGTTCGTTCTGGAATTTATCAGTGACAAAGGGAGCTTCCTGCAGCCTGTCCGCCACATCATTCGCCCAGAAAACAGCACTATCTCACCTGGAATGGATGAGCACAGGGACTGGAAACACTTTGACAATAAGTAAAAGGCTGCAACATACTTTATATAGGTCTGGAATCAAGTAATTTCTGCATCTTATCAAAATGTCATGAAAACAGTTAACTAATCTAACTGCACTGATTCCAGCAAGAGGGTATATTACAGAGAGAGTTTCCAACAGGCCAAATACAGCAGCTTCTTTAACCCCACAAAACTTCTTTCATCTTTTATCTATCAACAAAACAGGTAAGAAGCTATTATGTAGGGGGAGGAAAGGCATCATCTTCCTTTAGTCCCACCTGGCCAAGACTTGGTGGGACACAAAAAACTTGCAAAATGGTTTCAGAGATTACACAGGCTTCAAGGTAGCAAGAACCATTCAGGGTACCAAAAGCACATGGGCAAATGAGGTGCAGAGGGCACCGCCAAAGGGGCAGCTAGTCCCCAGCACGCCCCAGGCAGTACCTGCGCTGCAGTTGAGGAAGCTCTCCAGGACAGTGACTGTGATCTCCTCCCCCAGAGGACGTCCGATGGCCACAGCGCAGTCACCGCTCCCTCCACCCGTCATGTTGATGATGCTGGTGGCATTAAGAAAGAGCTTTCCACAGACACCTGTACAGCAGAGACAGGTGAGAAACACATCCAGAAGGAACTACAGCTTCTGAAAAACAGCCTCCATTCCCTCTGTGGCATGACGAACAGACAAGGGCCAACAGTTGTGCCCACCTTCTGGGAGGAGCACAGGAAGAGTCAGCTGCTGCCCCAAGGAGTTCCAGGTCAGAAGAGCTTTGGAAAGCCCAGGGAAGGGAGGCACTGCTCCTAGCTCAGACAACATGGACAGCTCATGGCATGCTGGCAGGAACAGCATGTTGTCCCTCCTAACCAGGAGTATTCACTTCCCTGCTCCTATCCCTGTACAGCAAGAGGGTCACCAC